TATGAGATGTGGTATCTGATTGTGGTTTTAATTTTCATTTCTCTAATAATTAGCTGATGTTGAGCATCTTTTCATATGTCCATTGGCCATTTGTATGTCCTTATTGGAGACATGTTGATTCATGTCTTGTGCCCATTTTAAAATTGGATTGGAGCCCTGGCCAGTTTGGCTCAGCGGTTAGAGCGTCGGCCTGCGGTCCGGAGAGACCCGGGTTCGGTTCCCGCTAAGGGCACGTACTTCGGTTGCAGTTTGTCCCCGGCCCTGGTTGGTCGTGCGGGTGGCGGCCACTCGATGTGTCCCTTCACGTCGATGTTTCTCACTCTCTCTCCCTTCCTCTCTCTCCCTCCCATTCTATCTGTACAAAAAATGGAAAAATATCCTCGGGTGAGGATTAAAAAAAAAAAATAAAAAATAAATAAATAAATAAATAAAATTGGATTGGATTTTTTGGTGTTGCGTTTTATAAGTTCTATAAATTTTGGATATTAACTTCTTGTTCAGATGTATCATTGGTGAGGATGTTCTCCCATTCATTTTGTTGGTTTCTATGCTGTACAAACACTTTTTTGTTTGATATATTCCCATTTGTTTATGTTTCATTTTGTTTCCCTTGCCCAAGGAGATATATCAGAAAAAAATATTGCTATGAGAGATGTTTGAGATTTTAATGCCTATGTTTTCCTCTAGGATTTTTTTTTTTTTGGTATGTTTCCCTAGCGGGAACCAAACGTGGGACTCTCTGGTCCGCAGGCTGATGCTCCAACGGCTGAGTCAAACTGGCCAGGGCTCCTCTAGGATTTTTATGGTTTTAAGTCTTACATTTAAGTCTTTAACCCATTTTGGTTAAAAAACACTTTGAAGGGGGTCAATGGGGAAAAAAGGGAGACATCTGTAATACTTCCAACAATAAAACAAAATACACTTTGAACTCAAATAAGTTAAAACATCTGGTTAGTCTCTATGCTTATCATTTATAACATGGATAAAAGTGAATTTAGAACTAGTTTAAAATTAACTGCTTTTTGTTTGTTTCTACAGGCATTTTTTTCCTGCAGTGACTTTTGAAAAAAAATTAATTAATTTTTTATTTATTAATTTGTTTTTGTTACAGATGTTTCTCATTTCCCCCCCATTGACACCTTCCTCCCCCCCCCCCCCCCAATCCCCAGCTTTGTTGTCTATGATCATTGGTCATGCATACGTGCATGTAAGTTCTGTGGTTTATCTCTTCCCCCACAAACACCCCCTCCTCTGAGGCTTGTCAGTCTGTACCCCACCTCCATGTGTCTGGGTTAATTTTGTTCGGCAGTTTGTTTAGTTCATTATATTCCACAAATAAGTGAGATCATGTGATATTTGTCTTTCTCTGCTTGGCTTGTTTCACTTAGGATAATACTCTCCAGGTCCTTCCATGCCATCTCAAAGGATAAGAGATCTTTCTTTCTTACAGCTGCATAGTATTCCATTGTGTATATGTACCACAACTTTTTAACCCATTCATCTACTGATGGACACTTGAGTTGTTTCCAGATCTTAGCTATTATAAATAGTGCTGCTATGAACATAGGGGAACATATATTCTTTCTGGCTGGTGTTTCAGGTTTCTTAGAGTATATTCCTAGAAGTGAGATTACTGGGTCAAATGGCAGTTCAATTTTTAATTTTTTGAGTAACACCATAGTCTTTTCCATAGTGGCTGCACCAGTCTGCATTCCCACCAGCAGTGTACTTGTGTCCCCTTTTCTCCACACCCTCACCAACACTTGTTGTTTGATGATTTGTTGATGGCGGCCATTCTGACAGGTGTGAAGTGATACCTCATTGTTGTTTTAATTTGCATCTCTCTGATGATTAGTGATGTTGAGCATTTCTTTATATGCCTCTTGGCCATTTGTATGTCCTGTTTGGAGAGGTGTCTATTTAGGTCCTCTGCCCATTTTTTAATTGGGTTCTTTGTCTTCCTTTTGTTAAGTTGTATGAGCACTCTATATATTTTGTAAATTAACCCCTTATCTGATGCATCATTGGCGAGTATGGTCTCCCGTATAGTGAGATCCCTTTCTGTTTTGATGGTTGTTTCTTTTGCTGTGCAGAAGCTTTTAAGTTTGATGTAGTTCCATGTGTTCATTTTTTCCTTTATTTCTCTTGCCTTAGGTGTTGTATCAGTAAAAATTCTGCTGCGTATGATATCTGAGATTTTGTTGCCTACATTTTCTTCTAGAATTTTTATGGATCCACAAGTTACATTTAAGTCTTTTATCCATTTTGAGTTTATTCTCATGTATGGTGTAATTTGGTGTTATAGCTTCATTTTTTGCAAATAGTTGTCCAATTCTTTCAACACCATTTATTGAAGAGACTGTCTTGACTCCACTGTATGCTCTTGCCACTTTGTCAAATATTAATTGAGCATCTTGTCTTGGGTCCATTTCTGGGTTCTCTGTTTTGTTCCATTGATCTATCTGCCTATTCTTGTTTTGATTAGATTGGCTTTGTAGCATAACCTGAAATCTGGTAATGTGATCCCTCCTACTTTGGTCTTCTTTTTCAAGTTTCTGCAGTGACTTTTACCTCAAACCTCTAAGATATATTTGTAGGCACAGAAGTGTACAGCTTATGCAAATATAGGTAAACAGAGATAGACCCAATTTCAGGAAGTTATAGAAGATATTACTCTTAAATACACGGACTTTCCCACCTCCATAAACAAACACAGGTAAGGGCTTGGGTGTCTTTCCCTTCCCTTTGATTACACATGGAAAGAAAACAGGAAGAAAAATGTAAACATGTTATAAATACAAATAGACATCACAGGAAGAATTATGTAAAAATATGGAGAAAGATTCATATAGATAAAATGCATAGCTTTGGAGACTAGTGGTTCCACTTATCATGTGATTAAAAAAAGTATATCTTGCAATTAGTTAAGAAAATACATTAAAAAATATTTTCCATTGAAATAAACAAAAGCCTTTTTTATAGTTTCCAGACAGTTTTTATTTTTTTTAATCCTCACCTGAGGACATTTTTCTATTTTTGTTCAGATAGAGTGGGAAGGAGAGAGAGGGGGAGAGAGAGAGAGACATCGACGTGAAAGAGATACATCCAGTGGCTGCCTCCTGCACCACCCAACCAGGGACAGTGTCAAACTGCAACCGAGGTTCATGCCCTTAGCGGGAACTGAACCCGGGTCTCTCTGGACTGCTGGCTGACGCTCTAACCACTAAACCAAACCAGCCAGGGCTCCAGACAGTTTTTAAATGATCCATGTTAAGATACTCCATGTGTTGTTTCACTAATGTCCTTGTTAAGATATTCCATGTGTTGACTGACTAATGTAGAGTACTTTTGAGGTTATATATCTCTATGAACTGGATTTATATTTATGTTAATGCAATCTGGGATTATATTAGCTCTTTTTTAAGCACTCACATAATATTTTAGCTCTTTGTGAGCCTGGGATCCACTAAAACCCTCTAATCTTTTTCACATGATCATTATTCTATATTTCTGAGACTGCATTTTTTAACTGAAGGGCAGAATTTTTTATTAATGACTACCAAATTTTATCTCATTTACATCACTTCTTTATTGTAATCAGGTAAGGTAATTTTTTTTTTTTAATCCTTACTTGAGGACATTTTTTTTTGATATTTTTTCACTGAAGTTCTCACTAAGTCCATTGAGCATCCTTATAAGCAGTGTTTTGAACTCAGCATCTGTTAGGTTGCTTATCTTTATTTCTCTTAGTTCTTTTCCTGGAGTTTTGTTCTGTTCTTTCACATGGGACACGTTTCTTTGTCTCCTCATTTCGGCTGCCTTCCTGTGTTTGTTTCTATATATTACTTAATGAGAGGTATGGAGCTAGCTGAGACCAGATACTGCTCATTTGAAAGAATTTAAGAAAACTTGAAGCCGGATCAGAGACAGGTCAATCCTATGGTAAAGCAACTGGCAACAGTTTGGGTGTGCCTGAAAGTTGGGTGGGGCAGGGCCTCAGGGAATCACTAGGGTGGGGCAAACAGTGTTAACCAAGTTGCTGGAGTCGCAGATGTGGTGGCTGTCTGCCCCCCCCAGGGAAGGACTCACTGCAGGAACAAAGGCCTCTGAGAGCATGTCTGTCCAGGGGAAAGCTTCCTCTCCAGCCCTGGCTCCAATGTCAAACAACTCAGTTCTTCCCTGTGTGTCTCCGGTGCCTTTCAAGCTACCTCCCCCTGCTGGAGCCTGGAGGGTGTGAGTCCGAGTAAGTCCGTGCACGGGCCCTGTAAGAGGAGCTGCCTGGGGCTCCAGCTGCCTCAGCCTTCCTCAGTCTGTTCCCACTGGTTTTTCTAGCCAGAAGTTATGGGGACTTCTCTTCCTGGCACTGGAACCCTGAGCTGGGTACCTGGTGTGGGACAGGGACCCCTCACTCCTCAGGGAGGACCTTCCCAGCTGAGGTTTCCCTCCTGATTTTTATCCACTACACGTGGGTGTGGGACCAGCCTGTGGTGCCTCTGCCCCTCCTACCAGTATTGATGTGGCTGCTTCTTAATTTTGTAGTTATAGGACTTCCATTCAGCTTGGTTTCAGGCAGTTTTGAATGATAGTTTTCTGTACTTTAGTTGTAACTTTGATGTGGTTGTGGACCTGATACCGCATTTACCTATGCTGCCGTCTTGACCGGAAGTCCTCAGCTCTCCTGTAAATTATTATTATTATTTTTTTTCATGGGAAAACAAAGTCATTTAGCTTTTCCCTTTAAAAACAAAGAAACAGGTCATTGTTGCAGGTCCTTGCTGCACTGTCTGAGCTGTCACCATGTTGAAGCTGAGTAAAGAGGCCAAGCAGAGGCTGCAGCAGCTCTTCAAAGGAGCCCACTTTGCCATCCACTGGGGCTGGGGTGCAGGTCCTGGAATGTCTGAACCATTTTGAGCTTACTTTGGGGATAAAGGACTGTTCGGTCACCTGGATTTGGAAGCAATCAATGGACAGTAACAACATGGAAGGTGTGCACTCTGGCTTCATGATGATTCCAGGGCCACGATGTCCTCAAAAACACCAGATTCACCTGCACTGGGAAATGTAGTCCGATCTGTGGGGCCAGCGGGCAAGCCCTTGCCCACAAGAACTGCAAGACCCACAATGCCCCACGCCTGCGTGAGATGGGGTTGCAAATTACTCTTTATTTCAGTTAGTGCATCCTTCATTTCTGACTGGTCCTTTATTATGCTCTTGAGGTCCTCACTAAGTTCCTTGAGCATCCCTATAAGATGTGTTTTGAACTCTGCATCTGTTAGATTGCTTATCTCCATTTCATTTAGTTCTTTTCCTGGAGTTTTGTTCTGTTCTTTCATTTGGGACATGTTTCTTTGTCTCCTCCTTTTGGCTGTGTCCTTGTGTTTGTGTATTTGGTAGAGCTATGCCTCTTAGGCTTTCTAGGGTGGCCTGTTGTAGAAGGATTCCATAGGGTCCAGTGGCACAGCCTCCCTTGTCACCCACCTGGGCCCTCAAGGTGTACCCCGCATGTGGACTTTGTACCTTTCAGTTGCAATTGAATCTTGATTGCTGTTGGCACGTCAGTGGGAGGGTTTTACTCAGGCTGATCAGCTGCAAGGACTGGCTGTGCCCACTATCTACCAACCTCTGACTACAGTGGATGATCAGCTGTGCAAGAGCCCATCACACAGAGCAAGACTTACTTCAGCAGGGCTCTGGTACCCATGGAGTCCACTCCTTGAGTGTGTCACTTGTGGAGGTAGTTGGGTGGTGGCGCTTCAATGTGGTCTGAAACTGGCCACTGGGTATGCTGGGTCTGGGGCAAGGTCAGGCACTGCCTGTGTTCTACCCGGGCCTACCAGGCATAAGCTACAAAGCCATCTACAGATGGCTGCTGCTTGTGCTGGGCTTGGAAGTGCCCAGACAAAGCCAGGCTGTGAACCAAGGCTGGCTGCTTCTAGTGCCAGCCCTGGGGTCACTTAGCGAGAAGTATGGGGCTTGCTGTGGCCAGATGCTGCTTGTCAGAGAATTCAGGAAAATCTGAACCAGGAGCCAAGGCAGGCCAATCCTATGATAAAGCCACTGGAAACAGCTTGGGTGGGCCCAAAATGTGGGTGGGACAGGGCCTCAGGAAATCACCAGAGTGGGGCAAACAGTGTAAGCCAAGTTGCTGGAGTCCAAGGTATGGCACCTGTCTGCTGGCTTCGTGGGGGAAAAGCTCACCAAGGGAACAACGGCCTCTACCATCACATCTGTCTGGGAGAAAGCTGCCTCTCCAGCTCTCACCCCAATGCCAAACAACTCAGTTCTTCCCGTTTATCTCTGGTGCCTCTCCATGCTGGAGCTGGGAGGGAGCAAGTCTGAGTAAGTGCATGCTCAGGCTCTTTAAGAGGAACTGCCTGGGGCTCCAGCTGCCTCAGCCTTTCTCAGCTTCAGTTCCTGCTGGTTTTACAGCTAGAAGTGATGGGGACTTCTCTTCCTGGCACTGGAACCCTGAGCTGGGCACCTCGTGTGGGAGGGGGATCGTTTACTCCTCAAGGAGGACCTTCTTAGCTAAGGTATCCCTCCTGATTTTTATCCGCAATATGTGGGTGTGGGACTAGCCTGTCCGCGCCTCTGCCCCTCCTACCAGTCTCAATGTGGCTTCTTTAATTTCATAGTTGTAGGACTTCCATTCAGCTCAATTTCCGGCAGTTCTGAAGGACGTTTCTTCTGTAGTTTAGTTGTAATTGTGATGTGGTTGTGGGAGGAGGTGAGTACCGCATTTATGTATGCCACTGTCTTGACCAGAAGTCCGGAGAATGTCCTATACAGACCATTCTTAGCTCAATTGCCATACATTGGCAACCCTGAGACCAGACATGGCCCACAGGCTGTAGTTTGCTGACCCCTGATCAACTGAATTGGTTATCTATTGCTGGATAACAAATTATCCCACAACTTAATGACTTAAAATACTAAACTGTATTATTTCACTTTATTATCTGTGGGTCAGGAATCCAGAGCATGGCTTATTTGGGTGCCTTTGCTACCTATCAGTCAGTCTATCCATACTTTTCTGTAACTTAATTCATGTTTTATTCACCCAAGTTTTTGATAAAAATATTGAACAAGGGGTGTTCATGACAGTCTTGTAGCATTCTTCCCCCAACCCCTAGATTGATTCCTGTCCACTAAAATATACTATGAATATTGCTGGTTGCCTAGCTATGAATCCTTAATAGTGCTACCATTGGACTAACATTTTATCATCATGTCCTTGAAGATCTTAGGAGACATTTTTCGTCAAACATATTTTTAAAATCACACTATGCTTCATTGGACAGGTAAGATCAAGATAAAATATGCTTCAAGGACTCTAAAATAAATTATAGCAATGCTATAGCTCAAAGGATGTCAGAAATAGGATCAGTTCCATCCTTGCCTTTAAGACAGGCATTTTTAGGGCTGATTACATATTATATATGCCTAGATTAAAAAAAAATTAACGAATGAAGCTTCCTTTTCTCCACTTCCACTTATGCTCTCATAGCAACATTTATATTTTCTTGTAGAATAGTAAACAAACCAAATCAGGGGTAAATTATACTTTATAAATATTTTTTTAAACATTTTTTTTTTTACTGACTTTAGAGAGAGAGAAAGGGAGAGGGAGAGAGAGATAGAAACATTGATGAGAGAGAACATCGATTGGTTGCCTCCTGCATTCCCCCCACTGGGGATTTGGCCCACAACCTGGGCATGTACCCTGACCAGAAATTGAACTGGTGACCTCTTGGTGCATGGGTCAACACTCAACCACTGAGCTTCACCGGCTGGGCTACTTTATAAAACTTTTGACGGTCCGTCCAGTGTGGCTCTGTGGTTGAGCTTCCACCCATGCACTGAGGTCACTGGTTCGATCTCCAGTCAGGACACATGCCCGGGTTATGGGCCAGATCCCCAGTGTGGAGCATGCCAATTGATGTTCTCTCTCATTGATGTTTCTATCTCTCTCTTTCTCTCACTTCCTCCCTCTCTAAAATCAATAAAAGAAAAACACTTTTTAAAAATATAAGTCTTTTGACAGTAAATCACAATGATAGCTCAATTCAGGGATCTTTCAAAATACGAGAATACCAGTCATTAATATCTATAATCTAGATAGCAAGCATATCTCAATGCATTTCAAAGACAGAGTACAGTGCTCTAACCAGAACTGATGACATAAAGTACCATAGTTTAAGTGATATATCACTCCGACTTCAGTCTCACTGACAGCAACTTTTTCCCCCATCGAGTAATATAATAATTACTACTTATTGGGCGTATACTATGAGGCAAATGCTGTGTTTTATATGGATTTTCTCATTAATTTTTAACAACTCTGAGAGGCAGGTACTGTTTTTATGTGCATTTTACAGAGAGATTGAGCAACTTGCCTATGGTCATTCAGCTAGTAAAAGATGAAGTCAAATTTTAAAACCCAGCAACATAAATGCAGAGTGCCTTCTCTTAAAACAAAGGCACATTTGTTTATTTGAAACTGCTAAGGAAACTTTTACTAGGAAATGTGGTTGACGGATTTACTGGCTTTTTTGTGGAAAGTTTGATGCCACTAGATGGCATTATTTTCAAAAGTTTTTATTGCTTAAGGTGAAAAAAGTAACTCAACTTTATTTTTATTAAAAAAAATTAATTTTATTCAGGTTCAATTGACAACTAAGTTTATAAGATATTTAAAGCATACATCATGGTGATTTGATAAATATATACATTGTGAAAGGATTTCCCCCATTTAGTTAACTAACACATCCATCCATTCCTCCTTCCCTCCCTCCCTCCCTCCCTTCCTTCCTTCCTTCCTTCCTTCCTTCCTTCCTTCCTTCCTTCCTTCCTTCCTTCCTTCCGTGAGAATATTTCAGTTTTACTACTCTCCTCCTAGCAAATTCTAACTATATAATACAGTGTTATAAATGGAGTTACCATATTTTACATTAGATTCTCATGACTCATTCAATCTTATAGTTGAAAGCTTGTTTTTTTATTTTTATTTTTTTGCTTATTTATTTATTTTTTGGTTGAAAGTTTGTACCCTTTTACCAACCTCTCTCCATTTGCCACATTCTGCACCACTTTTCTACTCTAACAGTTTGACTATTTTTTTTTTTTCTTTCTGATTCTACATATCACTGATACCATGCAACATTTGTCTTCTCTGTCTGGCTTATTTCACTTAGCGTAATGCCTTCAAGTTTCTCAAGTTCCACCCATGTTATCACAAATGGCAGGATTTCCTTCTTTCTCATGACTAAATTATATGTGTGTATATGTCATATTTTATTTATCCATTGATGGACATTTAAGGTGTTTACATAGCTTGCCTTTTATAAATAATGCTGCAGTGAACATGGTGGTGCATATATCTCTTCAGTATCTTTTTCCACTTTTGAATACACACATAGAAGTGGGATTGCTGAATCATATGGTAGTTTTATTTATTTATTTATTTTTAATTTTTAATTTTTTTTATTAATTAATTTTTGTTACAGATGTTTCTCCTTTTTTCCCACTGATTCCCCCCTCCCCCTCCCTCCCTACCCTTTCCCCAGTTTGTTGTCCATGTCCACTGTTCATGTATACATGCATATAAGTTCTGTGGTTTATCTCTCCCCCACCACCCCCTCTTCTGGGGATTGTCAGTCTGTACCCCACTTCCACATCTCTGGGACTACCCCATTCCTCAGACTGTTATGTTCATTATACTCCACAAATAAGTGAGATCATATGATACTTGTCTTTCTCTGTTTGGCTTGTTTCACTTAGGATGATACTTTCCAGATCCCTCCATGTCGTCTCAAAGGATAAGAGATCTTTCTTTCTTACAGCTGCGTAGTACTCCATTGTGTATATGTACCACAGCTTTTTTATCCATTCGTCTACTGATGGACACTTGGGCTGATTCCAGATCTTAGCTATTGTAAATAGTGCTGCTATAAACATGGGGGTACATATATTCTTTCTTTTCTTTTTTTTTTCTTGACTTTGTTTAATTATCAAATACAATGATCCACTTTATGAAAATTATGTCAACATTTAATTAAATAAAAATAAGTATTATTCCTGTTGGGATTACCATGGGGTTCTTTATTGACCAGCAGCAAGCCAATCCATTTTTTTGCTCTTTAAATCCACAATGCCCATAGCCAACAGCCAAAAGGTCTGGATTTGTTTTATTCCAGGCAAGGCTGCTCATATTAAGGCCTTTGGTAAAGTCACAGGAAAAGGACCAAAGTCGTTCCAAGTTGGCTGATATTGTTGATTGTTCTGCATCTATCTCTATTTCTTCTTCCTCTTCCCTTTTAACCTCTTCTTCTACCTCTTCAACTTTTTCACCTTCTAATAAGTCTTCAGGCTCTTCAGGTTCTGGCTCTTTTAAAATAGGAAGCTGATGATAAGCTGCAAGTTTGGGCTGAAATATATTCTCCATTATAACTCGTTCCATAAAAAATAAGTCCTGATGAAACTTTTCAGATTTGAATATTGCATCTGAGTTGTCTTCTTCATCATCATGCATTTTAGCCAGAATTACATTTTCTATTTCCATTATAGAACTATCTTCACTATTTTTTTCTGTAGTACTTCCTTGCCCTCTTTGGTCCTGATCTTTAAGCATACTTCCTTTACTGCTCGACTCAAAGATCGTTTCGTATTTTCTTTACTGGCGGAATCAAGTACAGGTTGTTGAACTGATGCAGATGAAAGCTCCAGAGCAACAAAAGAATCATACAAATCCCAAGCAGTAGACATTATGCCAGGATTGAGTCAGTGTCCCTGGTTATGTGGTCCTCCAAGCTGCCTTTTGGTTGCCCCTTCCTGATGATTTGTCTTTATTTTCGTTGTAATTCCAGTTTGGTCCTGGGAAAAGGTCTGTGTAGCTTCCATTCACTCCACCGCCATTTTTTCTCTCACATATATTCTTTCTGATTGGTATTTCAGGCTTCGTAAGGTATATTCCTAGAAGTGGAATCACTGGGTCAAATGGAAGTTAAATTTTTAATTTTTTGAGGTAACACCATATTGTTTTCCATAGTGGCTGCACCAGTCTGCATTCCCACCAGCAGTGCACTAGAGTCCCCTTTTCTCCACACCCTCGCCAACACTTGTTGTTTGATGATTTGTTGATGGCGGCCATTCTGACAGGTGTGAGGTGATACCTCATTGTTGTTTTAATTTGCATCTTCCTGATGATTAGTGATGATGAGCATTTCTTCATATGTTTCTTAGCCATTTGTATGTCCTGTTTGGAGAGGTGTCTATTTTGTTTCTCTGCCCATTTTTTAATTGGGTTCTTTGTCTTCCTTTTGTGGAGTTGTATGAGCACTCTATATGTATTGGAAATTAACCCCTTTTCTGATATATCATTGGCAATGATGCTCTCCCATACAGTGGGTAGCCTTTCCATTTTGATGATTGTATCTTTCGCTGTGCAGAAGCTTTTGAGTTTGATGTAGTCCCATGTGTTCATTTTCTCCTTTGTTTCTATTGCCTTAGGTGATGTATCAGTGAAAATTCTGCTGCATATGATGTCTGAAATTTTGTTGCCTACAGTTTCTTCTAGGATTTTTATGGATTCATGAGTCACATTTAAGTCTTTTATCCATTTTGAGTTTATTCTTGTGTAGGGTGTAAGTTGATGGTCTAGTTTCATTTTTCTGCAAGTAGCTGTCCAATTTTCCCACCACCATGTATTAAAGAGGCTGTCCTTACTCCACTGTATGCTCTTGCCACCTTTGTCAAATATTAATTGAGCATATTGCCTTGGGTCCATTTCTGGGTTCTCAGTTCTGTTCCACTGGTCTATATGCCTGTTCTTGTGCCAGTACCAGGCTGTTTTGATTACAGTGGCTTTGTAGTATAACCTGAAATTTGGTAATGTGCTCCCTCCAACTTTGTTCTTCCTTTTCAAGATTGCTGTGGCTATTCGAGGTGTTTTTTGGTTCCATATGAACTTTTGAAGTACTTGTTCTAATTCTGTGAAGTATGCCATTGGTATTTTGATGGGGATTGCATTGAATCTATAGATTGCTTTGGGTAATATGGACATTTTAATGATTAATTCTCCCAATCCATGAACAGGGTATGTGCTTCCACTTTTTTATATCTTCCTCTATTTCTTTTTTCAATGACCTGTAGTTTTCTGCGAATAGGTCTTTTATTTTTTGGTTAAGTTTATTCCTAGGTATCTTAATTTTTTTGCCGCAATGGTAAATGGGATTGTTTTCTTAGTTTCTCTTTCTGTGAGTTCATCATTGGTGTATAAGAATGCCATCGATTTCTTGACGTTAATTTTGTATCCTGCTACTTTGTCAAATTCATTTATTAAGTCTAGTAAACTTTTGATGGAGTCTTTGGGGTTTTCTACGTACAGCATCATGTCATCTGCAAATAATGACAATTTCACTTCCTCCTTTCCAATTTGGATCCCTTTTATTTTTTCTTCCTGTCTGATTGCTGTGGCTAAGACTTCCAGTAATGTGTTAAATAAGAGTGGCGAAAGTGGGCATCCTTGCCTTGTTCTTGTTCTTAAGGGAAATGCTTTTAGTTTTTGCCCATTGAGTATGATGTTGGCTGTAGGTCTTTCATATATGGCCTTTATTATGTCTAGATATGATCCCTCTATTCCCACACTGCCTAGCGTTTTTTATCAGAAATGGGTGCTGGATTTTGTTGAATGCTTTTTCAGCATCTATTGATATGATTTTGTGGTTTTTATTCTTTATTTTGTTTACATGGTGTATCACATTTATTGATTTGCGAATATTGTACCAGCCTTGCATTCCTGGTATGAATCCCACTTGGTCATGGTGAATAATTTTTTTGATGTATTGCTGGATTCTATTTGCTACTATTTTGTTCAGGATTTCGATATCTATGTTCAACAGGGATATTGGCCTGTAGTTTTCTTACTTTGTAGTGTCTTTCTCTTTTTTTGGAATTAGAATTATGCTGGCCTCATATAAGGAGTTTGGAAGTCTTTCTTCTTCTTGAATTTTTTGAAATAGTTTGAGGAGAATGGGTATTAGTTCTTCTTTGAATGTTCGGTATAATTCCCCCATGAAGCTGTCCGGGCCTGGGCTTTTGTTTGCTGGGAGAGTCTTAATTACATCTTCAATTTCTTCTCTTATTACTGGTCTGTTCAAGTTTTCTATCTCTTCCTGATCCAGTTTTGGGAGATTATGTGTTTCTAGAAATTGGTCCATTTCGCTTAGATTGTCGAATTTTTAGCCATATAATTGTTCATAATATTTGTTCACAGTCCTTTGTATTTCTGTGGTATCAGTTATTATTTCTCCTCTTTCATTTCTGATTTTGTGTATTTGGGTTCTCTCTCTTTGTTTCTTGGTGAGTCTAGCTAAGGGTCCATCTATATTGTTTATCTTTTCAAAGAACTAGCTCTTTGTTTTATTGATCCTTTGAATTGTTTTTTTTGGTCTCCATGTCATTTATTTGGGCTCTGATCTTTACTATTTCCTTCCTTCTCCTTTTCTGGTGTTTTTTTTTTGTTTACTTTCTAGTTTTTTAAGTTGTGAGGTTGGATATTCTGTTAGAAATTTTTCTTTTTTCTTGAGGTAGGCCTGTAGTGCTATGAACTTCCTTCTCAGGACTGCATTTGCTGTATCCCATAGTTTTTGTGTTGTTGTGTATTCATTTTCTTGGTTTCCAGGAAGTTTTTAATTTCTTCGTTGATCTTCATGGTAACCCATTCATTGTTCAATGACATGCTATTTAACCTCCATGTTTTCAAATGTCTTTGCATGCTCTTGTTGCAGTTGATTTCTAGTTGCATGCCATTGTGATCTGAAAAGATGCTTGATATGATTTCAATCTTTTTGAACTTGTAGAGACTTAGTTTGTGTCCTAACATGTTGTCTATCTTTGAGAATGTCCCATGTGCACTTGAGAAGAATGTGAATTCTGTAGTTTTTGGCTGTAATTCTCTGTAGATATGTATTAAATCCATTTTATCTAGTGCTTCATTTAGAGTCTGTGTTTTCTTGTTAATTTTTTGTCTAGAAGATCTATTCAGTGATGTCAGCGGGATGTTGATGTTCCCTGCTATGATTGTATTGCTGTCAATTTCTCTTTTGAAGTCCTCCAAAAGATTTTTAATATATTTTGGTGCACCTATATTGGGTGCATATATGTTTACCATGGTTATATCTTCCTATTGGATAGAGCCTTTCAATATTATGTAGTGGCCTTCTTTGTTATGGTCTTCATTTTTTTTTTTATCCTCACCCGAGGACATTTTTCCATTTTTTGTTCAGATAGAGTGGGGAGGGAGGGAAAGAGAGAGAGAGAGAGAGAGAGAGAGAGAGAAAGAAACATCGACATGAAAGGGACACATCAAGTGGTTGCCACCCACATGACCTAACTAGGGCCAGGGACAAACTGCAACTGAGATTCATGCCCTTAGCGGGAATTGAACCTGGGTCTCTCTGGACCGCAGGCCAATGCTCTACTGCTGAGCCAAACTGGCCAGAGCATGGTCTTAATTTTGAAATCTACTTTATCAGATATGAGTATTGCTACCCCAGCTTTGTTTTGCTTTTTGTTTGCTTGAAAGATTTTTTTCCATCCTTTCACTTTCAACCTATGTGAGTCTTTTGTTGTGAGGTGGGTCCCTTGTAAACAACATATATGTGAGTCATGCTTTCTTTTCCAGTCAGCTACTCTGTGTCTTTTTACCAGAGCATTCAAACCATTCACATTTAAGGTGCTAATTGATATGTACTTATTTATTGCCATTTTTGTTCAGTGTGGTTATATTTTTCTTCCTATTTCTTCTATTAATTACAGCAGTCCTTTTAGCATATCTTGCAGTGCTGGTTTGGTGTTAATATATTCCCGTAGGCTATTTTTGTCTGGAAAGCTCTTTATTTGACCTTCTATTTTGAATGATAGCCTTGCTGGGTAGAGTATTCTTGGATTCAGATCATTGTTTTTCATTACCTTGTTTACTTCATGCTACTCCCTTCTGGCTTGTAGTGTTTCTTGTGAGAAGTCAGCTGAGAGCCTTATGGGGTTTCCTTTGTAGGTAACCTGTTGCTTATCTCTTGATGCTTTTAGGATTCTCTCTTTGCCTTTAATTTTTGGCATTTTAATGACTATGTGTCTTGGTGCGGGCCTGTTTGGGTTCTTCTTACTTGGGGCTCTCTGTGCTTCTTGAACTTGAATGCCTTCTTCCTTCACCAAGTTAGGAAAGTTTCTATCACTATTCAAATATATTCTCTAACCCTTGCCCATTTTGTTTCTCTTTGGGGACTCCTATGATGCTAATATTATCACGTTTCCAGTTGTCCCACAATTCTCTTAAGCTGTCTTTTTGTTTTTAAATTGTTTTTTCCCTTTTGGTTTCTGATTGGTTGATTTTTTTCTACCCTATCTTCTAATCCAGTAATCCAGTCCTCAGCTTCCTCTACTCTGCTGGTTAATTTTTCCAATGTGTTCTTAATTTCTGCTATGTCATTCTTCATTTTCACTTATTGGATGGTTTTCAATATCTTTACTCATGGTGCTGATGTCCTTACTCATGCTGTTGAGCTTCTTCAAGATCATGGCTCTGAACTCTACCTCTGATAATTTTCTTAGGTGCATTTCATTGGTTTCATCTTCAATAGAGTTCTCTTGTTCTTTCATTTGGGATTTGTTTCTTTGTTTCACCATTTTGGCTATCTCAGTGGGTTTTGGAGCCTGCCAAATTTTCCCTGTGGGTATAGGTGTTCTGCTGTTTGTGCCTCCCTCTGCTTTGTTTGGATGAG